CCACGCACGCGCCCCAAATGTGGGGACTGATAGGAAAAATTCGCTAAACCCTCGATATCTCACTAGGAACAAGCTAGGGGCACGAACGTTTTTTACGGTAGACATAATTCATCAAGGCCTACAAAATGCGCATAGTCTCGACTAAAAATCGCTCCAACACCTGGGAATGTTCCCTCGTGAGTCATAATCTTCAGTTATATTACATATATTTGCTATAATATCCGTTAATAAGTATATAACTTCTCAGATAGTTGAAGCTTGATGAAAAAGTAACTTTCTACATACCATTCGACGCGATACAAATTGCTCTATAAAATGGTATAGATGGCTTTTCGCATAAAGTGTGGTCATCTCATCTGACAGGATCTTTCAAAATAAATAGAAGACATATCAATTTTACCAATTTCTGATCCAAGTACAAAACCAGATACGGAAATTCCTCGTGTTGAACAAGCAAGTAAAAAACGTGCTAATGTAAAAATAATATATGATGGCCAAAAGCCATATATCGATTGAGGACCAAATGCACATAAAAATCCTGATACACTCATTAAAATAAAACTAACACTCATTATAGGACGACGACCATATCTAATCAAATAAAATTATATAAAATAATTTTATTTTAATTTTTAGTCGAAAATTTTTACTTATCAGCCAACATGCCAAAAAATATTGAACCAACCATATAACCAACAAAATATATCATTTGTACGGTTGATTTATAACGAAGACGGTCACAAACCATTGTCCACTATTATATAAATTAAAATAAGAATAGAAAATATCTTTTTATTTTCGAAGTTTTTACTTCTTCGACTAATGTTTTTCTATAATATTTTCTGTCATAAACATATGTATTACATTTAGTTAATGTTACATTTGCAGATGATTGATTATTAGTTCTTGATTGAATAAAACAACGTTGACACTCTTTGTCTGATAATTGTTTTAATTTAGTCTTGCATTGCTCCTGTGTAGGTTTATACATTGAATCAAACAAGTTATTTGATACTTCGTTGTATTCATCTGTATTGATCACAGCGGGATTTACACATCGAAAATCTGGTATTGCAGCCGTGAACGTATATGTATAAACCATTATTGGTGGAAGCATATATGTTAAACAAATAAGTGTATACTTCACTTTTTGAAATTTTCCCCAATCATTGATGGTGTCGAGGAAAGTATCAAATTTCATGTTGAACTAATTTCACTTTTGTCTAATTTTTCGTTTTGATCTACAAACAAAAAAAAAGATGCCTAAAGAGCGAATGAATCAAAGAAAGAAAAGCGGTAAAAATATTTTTTTTTCTTTGTTTAGTGATATGTGGAATGACTCGATAGAATATTTCGACTAGTGTGCACATAGAATCACGCATACATACATGAATGAATGAAGAAAAAACAAGTAAATACGCTATATATTAGTATTTGAAAAAAAGAAAGGAGGCACTCATGAGAATTGAATAAACATGTATGTGCACACACATTCGATTAATAAAAATGATGTGTAAAAAATAGTATAGTGGGTATTGTAGCACATCACAGGAATTAACATGATAAAAGAAAAGCGAATATGAGGAAACGAACTAATATGGTTATACAGAATTTTGAAGATTTGTAAGGACAAAAAAAGTGAATCAACCAAAGGGATCAAATTTAGGACTAGGAGGTGGTGAACCTGGATCTCCTAAACCGAGTAAATCACTTATTGTCTCATTGTTATTATCAAATGGATTTGAATTAAGAATTTTTAGTGTCACTGGTCGTTGAATATCGTTATTAGGAATAGGAGCAGGTGCAGAAGTAGCAGCAATAGGTACCGGTGGTGGTGGTCGAGTAGGCACAAATTGTGATGGTGATTGACAATAAAATGTACTACGATTATTATTATTTTCATAATGTGTTGGATTTACTAAAGATGTCGAAAACATATTCAATGGTGGTGAATCAGTTTGACGAAGAGGTGGAGTAGAAGAAATTTTTAATGAATCAATATAAAAAGTCGATCCAGCTGATTGTGAATGATTATCTAATAAAAGAAGATTATCACCATCTAATAATAATATTCAATGATTTAGTTTTTTTTTTAGAAAAAAAAAGTATAAGATACTTGTTTTAGTATTATTTGATACAGGTTGAGAAGAAAAATGATATGGATCAAACAAGTTTTCACTAAACAATGCCTAAAATTTAGAAAATTAATTCAATTTATTTTGTTTTGTTTTGTTTTTGATTATTTACATCCATCTGTTGACTTTGAAGGTTATTGTTCGATGAAAAATCATGTAAAGCATGATGATCAGAATCAAATGAAATCAATTCACCAACAGTATCTTCTTGATAATTTTCATCTGTATCATTTCCACCACCCGATGACGATTCTTCACCGGGAACTAAAATAAAAAGAAAAGATAAATTATTTTTTCAAAGGTTATATTAAATTTGAGAAATAAATTGGTTTATTATGATACGATATTTAATAGAACGAGAAGAATAATTAAAAAGTAAAAAATAAATAAATAAATAAATTGAATATATAGAAGTAAAATTATATGAAAAATTAAACTTTATGAAAGGAATTATTTGAAATATGAAGTTATTCATATTTACAAGTTTCGCCACTGAAATTGAGGATTTTTATTTCTATTTGTTTTCTTTTTTTTATTAGTAGTTAAATTGATCGTTTGTTTTCATGATTTTATTGCTCGTTTGATGTAAATTTCATATTGAATGTCTCCTTATTTGATTATTTTTATGAGATATTTTCACTAATACAGGTGTTGTATCTATTTGAATAGATGTCGTTGGACCTTTAGGATCTAATGCATATAACAATATTTGATTAGGTTCATATCTAAGGATATTTAAAATGTCAGTAGACAAGTATCTATCTTTTCCTTTCTGATTTTTTTCATGTTTTAAGAAACTTTTGACTTTTTCCCTATGAGTATGTCGATCATTTGCTTGATTTCCGTGCTGTTTCATATAGTTTTCTTTATGTGTATGATCATGTTTGTTTTGCCAATGTCGAACACGTTCTTTTAAATGAGTCTTTAATGATTCAGAATCACTATTTTCCCAATCCAATTGATGTTCATCATCCGGAATATATGATGAATGTCTATCATTATCCTTGTTTAATAAATCGTTAGTTGTATGATTATTTTCATCAAAATCTGTAAGAATAATATTTCCATGACGACGTCGAAATCGTTCAAAATTATGTTGAATTTCATCGACTAAATAAAGTTTTTCAATATCTTCGTTTTCTTGTTCATCGAATTTAAATTGTAATGAACTTATTCTTGGAAATGTTTGATTAACTAGAACGGCAGAAGGAATATGATTATTGTCGTCTGTTGATCTTGCATTATCGAGCGAGAAAAAGAATTTTTCTTTTCATGCAATTTATATATATATATATATATGTTAATTCTTGATACTCAAGCCCAATCTTTTTTCTTTTATTGGTAGTTCATTTAAATGCATTAAAATTTCTTGTTGATAGTAGATATGGATGTATTTTCCATGGCAAGTTATAACATTAAGTAAGATATAGTTTGAGCTGGAGATATTTCAAAGCGTATTTTAATAAATAGCGCGCAAGTAAAAGAAAAAAAAAACAATTGAAAAAAAGCAATTATCTTACCAAGAGTAGTTACACTGATATCTTGTAATGTTGAAAGAGATTCACGAGCTGGTTGTTGATAAGCACCAAGATCACTGTAAGATATAATTAAAAAGAATATTGAAAGAGAAAGATATATGTATGTACTTACTAATTAGTCGTTTCTGGATCCATTGTTTGATTATCATCAGCAAAAAGAATATTTAATTTTTGAGTCAAAGCAATATCTTCATTTAAATCTATTAAACGTTTACTGAAGTAAATTCCACTAGGAAGCTAAAATAAACAAAAATAATTATCAATTTTGTTTTAGATTGAAATGATTTTTTTTTCAAAATAAAAATTATTTCTATTTTGAATTATAATAATTTTTCATAAGAGAATTTCATTTTCTATGTGACACTTAACTGATATTCATTGCAAATTGACTTTCAATATTGCGTTTTTATATGGAAGAAAGCACTTTAAATGTTCGAACAACACATTATGCGTAAAAAGTTTTGAGACACTTGCAATTTCTATTGTTGTTCCAGTTTTTCCTAACTTTGAATAGTACTATCGAAAAATAACATAAAAAAAACTAAGTATACTTAACGTTTTCTTACATTTGAAATCATAGAGTATCTGTATTTTCTGCAAAGGAGTTTTTAAGTAGAAATGCTAGGTATACATTGAAAATAGCTTTTAGATAATGACGTTGAATAATTCATTGCTTCCTACAATAAAAGGCTACGAAACGTCTCAGCTCAACAACATAAAATCAAAAGAGAATTTCTTTCTTGATGTTCACAGTGAGTTCTCAGCAATTTTTAATGCATACCAAGGAATTTTGTTTATAAATCCCTTTCAAGAAATACGTATAGTCTATCATTTCAAGCCTAAAAAGACATTAACAGTATTGATTTTTTTTCTGTTCTTTTTGGTAGTATTATTCAAAATTGAAAGAAACCTTATCAGTGCGGTCCTATGAAGGATCAAAATATGGAACTCACAAACTCTAATTATTGTAAATTGAAGATATATTGTCAAAGAGGCTAAAATAATTTATTTAGGAAAATGAATAAATCAAAATGACAAAAATTTGCATAGTGAATATGTGCGCTCTTAAATGTTATCATTTCAAAAATGTTTATATTTAGAATTTCGATTCTAACAATTGATTAGATTCATTTAATGTCATTCTACTGGAAAAACTCCTTTGTATTGTTAGATGCATGTTCAATACATAACTTCTTTTCTTTTAATGATAATATATATATGATGCATGTAATAGGAAGTATCAAATATCATTTTATTCTTCGTTTCATTGGTTCAACTACTCTATTAGAGATACAAGAGTGACAAAAAGTAGAATAAGAAGAGAAATAAAAAGTGTCACGAAATTTTTTGTAAAATGTTGTACGTACACTCGAATTGATAGTATTTGTTTGATATAGTGGAATATGAAAGATTAACAACTAAAGTAACTTATTGAGGAGACTACTAAATTATTTCTTTCTTTTTCTTTTTCATATCTTTAAAATGTGTTGTAATAAACTCTTTAAATATGATGTAATATTCTCTCTTGATTTATATATAAACGAACAAAATATCAAAAAATTTACTTGATCCTCTTTTGGTTGCATAACTCTTCGAGCATGTTCACCATTTTCAAAAAACATATGTAATGAAAGATATCTCTGATTTGAAGTACAACTAAAACCAAAGAAAATAAGAATAACAAAGAAAAAAAGAAAAAAAACTCATCTCTTACAATCGATCAATAATTGATACAGCTGTTCCATATTTTCTTCTGACATATGCATCAAATTCATCCATTACTTGAAGTTTTCTTTGATTTAAATCAGCTCGCATATCATAAATAATAAGTGCATTTGATGGTGCAAGTCTTTTATGTAGTTGAACATATTCGCCATAGAGTTTCTTTTCATCACATATTTCAATATCAACATCAAAAATTGAATTAACAGGACGGTGATCAGATGTTTTAACTTCAGCACGGCCATAATATAATTGTTTAACTTGAATATTATGAGATATACTACGCCATAATATACGATCTGTATATGATGGTGTACGAGCTTTTTCACTGGTATCATACACATCTGAACTGACATCGTATTTATAAGTTGGAGGAAAATTTATTGGACCTTCAAGAAATTCATGAAAAACCTTCAAAAAAAAATATTTCATTTAAGTTTTAATTTGAAAAATAAACAAACTCTTTTGTCGGCATGTTCTCTTTTTAATTGATCATATTGAAGTAGTTCTATATAAGATTGATCTTGAACAAATCGTTCAACTTCTCCACGTGGAATTATTAAACGATAATTAAAATCACCCAAAAAAAATATATGATCATGCCATAATGCTCGTGATGGCTATATATTAATTCAAAAGAAAAGAAAAAAAAGAGAAAAGAAAACAATTATTTACTGGTTGGAAAGTAAGTTTTTCCATAATAGTTTTATAATCTTTATTACGTTCGCTATATTCATTTTGTCCAGCTGTGAAATGAGCACATACAAAACAGATTGAAGTACTATGCAAAACAAGACGAATAGCAACCTAAAGACATAAAACACAGTTGTTATATAGAAGGGCACATCGATTTTCTGGTAACAGATTGACATTAATATGACAATAGATATCTACTTCAAATCAGTCGTCATTTACATATCAAGGCTCTGCAAATAAAATCTAACTGCAACAAACAAGTTAAAAACGGCAAAAATAAAATGTAAATTTTCATGAATAATTAAAGATACGCTAATGAAAAATATGTTTATAACATATGCAAATAAGCCTTGGTCGCATTCGATTCCAGACAATTGTTTACTTATGCGGAAAAAATATTCATATATTGTTGATTTAACTAGATTAAATGTATAACTTTAAACTTAATAATACTTTAATAAACTAGTTAAAGTAACGAAATTTAACAATTGAACTTTAAAAAAACTTGGAGTTAAAATTTTTAGTTTTTTATCTTTTGCATTCACTGCTAGAAAAGTGCATCACCGGAACTCTCAGAAAAAAATTGTTCGAACCAGAATTTAAAATTGTAGTAAAATTTTCTGTAATTTTTAGCGATTTATATTATAAATATCATCAATCAAAGCACAATTTAGGAGATATGACCAAAAAAAATTGATATTTGTCCGATACATCAATCAAAACATAAGTATTAAAGATTTTCTTATTTTTTAGATTTAATGTAAAGAAATTCTGAAATAGTTTTTTCTCTACAGGATGAACGTTTATAAGTTTGACTCACCAATCGAACTGATATTTTGTCCATAAGTAAATCTTGTCGACCTTAGAATGTCCTCAAAATTTCAGCTCGAAAGAAATCGGTTCTTCTCGAGATATTGAGTATCCAAAAATAATCATGTGTCACAAGAAAAAGTAAGAAAACTAAGAGTTGTCAACATTTAATATCTCAAGAGTAACATATCCGTTCGAGCCAGAACCATCAGGACATTCTAACATCCACGAGACATATCTATAGATAAAATTTCAGGTGAAAATTCTCTAATTAGCTGTTTTCACAAATACTTTACCAAAGATAAAATATTCAGTAAAATTGTAATAACTTGAGCAGAACAGCGAATTGAAACGAACCTTTATAGGATTCTACTGGTCTCTTGGAGACCTACTACTAGGCAAAATATCAATTTAGTTGACGAGTCACACTTGGAGACCTTGCACTTGTAAGCCGAGACCCCAAAAAGATATAATCACTAGGATTGAGACCAGATCACATTTAGCAGAACTATGACTAAAACCACTAACAAAAGAGATTACTGAAGCTGACAATACAATTCTTCGTTCCGCACATCTGTACTCACTATTCATGTACAACTATTTTATACATTAGTAGTAATAGTCAAGATTTTTTGTCTAATGCGATTGCTTCAATAATGTTCGAAAGGTATTTTAATTGACAAAAAGATTTGAAAATATTATTCTGTATATTGATCAATTACATAGTAAATATATTCAGAACTCCTCTGTTTGATGAGATAACTTAGTTACTAAAGATTTGTTTAAAAAAGCCTGTCTCTAAAGCACATGTGCTGTTAAAAGTTTTTTTTTAAAATGTCTTTGTCTTGTCTGCTCAAAGCTATCATTGTAGAAGAGAAAAAGCTCAAATTTTCAAATTGTTCTATCCTTACTTTTCTTCCAATGATCACTAAATTGATCAAACTATTTTGAATAAAGTGAAATATATCTGATCGTTCTATGTATACCACTAACATATGGACAAGATCAATACTCTATTTGTGTGGTTATTTATTATTGGCTTTTGTAAATCCACTATCAGGGGATAACTTCAACTGTTAAAATGTCACAATCTAAATCAGATTTCATTCAAAATACTTAAACTCAATACAGATAGATAAATCATTGAATCTCTCTGAATACTTCGGTTATGATATGAAATATTCAAGATAGAACATACAGTATAATTGAAAAATCTTAAACTAAATCAAAGGTATCCACATAGTCTGTTGATTTTTTTCTCTTCTTCTCACTGTTTATATTATGTTGTCACTTGTATTGCTTTTTTTTTCTATAGGTATTTATTAGTCCCTGTTCTGACTACTTAACTGTGTACCCAATAAGCGAAGACTAATATGTACCGAGTTCTTTTATGTTATATTATTAAATGACAGAAATAAAATGATAGATAATAAAAGCATCTAGAATATGAGATTACAGGTAAATTAAGCAAATTTGAAATAGTATTATTAAGTAGTTTAATTACCAGGAAAGCAAAAGCTACCAGATCTGTCGTAAAGCAAACAGAAAAGTATAACAAATTTTTCTGGCTGATTAAACTATAAAATAAATCATCGTCTATTTGTTGACATTATATGAAGACTTAAAATAAATTAAACAAACTTTCTTTAGTTTTTCTCGATTTTCTCCAATAGATCACTTCTTTTTCTTTTTGAGGAAGGGGGGGGGGGGGGGGGGGGGGGAAGGCCACATTCTAAGCCACAGACAAAAAAGGACCCCGTTCCCCCCCTGTAAAAACCCCGTTAAACCCCTTTTTTAAGCCCCCATTTTTTCAG